TTGACCTTGTTTTCGCAACTTGGTCATATTGGTAGGAGGACTTAGAGGAACGCACCTAGTCCGGAGTCCAGTGTATGCATCATCATTTTCAAGAAGGGCAGAAGGGGAGATACCACAACTGTTTAAAACATGTTTATCAAATGATGGGCTTCACTTGTCTCTTTGACGGGTTGTAATATGGTGCTACTAATGACGAGATTCACTGGCGATGCCGACTACGAGGCCGGCGAAACTTCTGTGAATGTACCACGTCCACGGTCTGACTTTGGAAGTGATCATGCATACAATGGACTCCGGACTAGGTGCCTTCCTATAAGTCTTCCTAACAATATGACCGAGTTGCGAAAACAAGGTCAAACAACTTCTATGTTGTACCGTGTTTATGCATATTTTATCACGGCTTGCTCGTAATGTAGGGCGTTTGGATTTAATTTTGCACACATTAATCATGGTTCATCCTGCATGAAAATGATCTATAAACTAATTGACTGTCTGTCTACGATTACCAGCACTGACGATTGTGGGTGGTTATGCCAAGGATTATGTTTTATGAACCTTCTACCAAAATCAATGTCGATAGCCAACTCGTGGCTACATTACTTACATGGCTCTAACTAATCTTCTAATCTGAGCCTCATCGTCTGACAGTGAAAGCCGTAGCCATATTCCGTTAGTTTCGTGAATGTATATTTCCTAATATGCATATTTTTTATGTATTTGTTAAACAATTTTTTTAAAATCCCGCCTATAGACGATTCTCTACTGCTCAAGTAGTCGCTACTACATATTCCACACAATCATTCGTTGGTTCCAGTTCGTTCTTCGGTTCTTCGACGCCTTCCCTCACAGATGGCCCTGTTAATGTTGATCCTCCTGAGAACATATCAAGGCTTGATTCTACTGGATGCGAGCCTGTATGGTCCCTAAAGATTCCCACTAAGACGACTGCTTTAACCCAATTCACAGATTCTGTCAATTCTACTGCTAGGCCCTGTCTTAGTGCAATGTTTAATCCTTCTCAGCTTTCCCGAATACCGTTAGCTTCTATCTGTCCGCTCATGTGCAGTCGTCCCATACAGTTGGAATCTGATAAATCAAATGATGATGAAGAGGAAGAGGACAGTGATGACGGAGAGGATATTGTGGAAACGGAAACTATCTGTACCAGTGGTGAGGATCATTCTGACGTTGAAATCAATGAACACGTTAGAAGCATTTCAGGCAACCATCAAGCTGCTCAAAAAAACAATATCAGCCAAAAGACAGAAGAGCTTCGGGAGCGACGAGCTGCCCAACTTAGCCTTGGTTTACTAGATTCGTCGTCTTCGACCAAGAACATTTTTTCTTCGGTTGATATGAAGATTTCCTCTTGCAGAGAAAAAATCTGTAGTATGGCAGAACGTCGTTCTGCCGCTTCAAACCAAGCTTTTGAGGTTGAATATGCTTTGGCCCATCAATTTTCGGCCAATTTATTTAAAAGGTTATCTGATACAGAAGACGTACTCAACAAGAATTATGCTTCTACTTCGCTTCCCTCTAGTTCGATCTGATGCTTCAACTTAGATCTGAATTCTGAAAAAACGTGCAAGTCATCTCCTCCCTCACATTTTCCTGGCCAACCCTTTAGCTCCATTGTGCTACTGTTAAGGAACCCTCATTTCTAACTTACTTTAGCAATATTACAATTTTCC